CCCGTCTGGTGCCGTCGCCTTCAGACCCATGAATGCAACGTGGTGATGTGGTGATCACCAAGGACGTCCGACAGACGACGACCACCGAGGTGTTTTTGCGTTCGCACCCCACTCATCGAACGACCGACCGATCGGTGACCAGTAAAGCGTTTCTTCGAATATGTTCCGGCACGAAACTGAAAAATCCAACTCAAGTGATCGCGCCTTATATTTTCACCAACACGACCACCGGAAACGCAAACACTGTTTCACTAATCTGTCCCTGATAAAGTGTAAGTCGTTGCCACTGTGCGCGACACCTCGCAAGTGTCAGTTGCACGGTGTGTACTGGACAGGTGAGATGCAGAACAGGGCGTTTAAGGGCTTCTGAGTGATATGCATGTTTCGGTTAAGTATGAGAAGTACGAAGGAAAGCGAAACAGTTACTACTTGCTCAACCGACCGACCAATACCCCGGGGACGGCAGAAAACAGCCTGGGATAAGCGTGTGGGAAGACCGCTCCAGACTCGGGATATCATCTGCCGCAGCTCAAACGCTGACAGAGGATAGGGAACGTTGGAAGCATTGTCTGATGCGTCTGCCTTCGCGACCCGAATCCGAACTGACCTATTTCATTTCCCGACCCACTGTTCAAGACAGCAATTAAAACGATGTGAAATTATTTGTTTACCGACGCGTTTCGACGTCGTAATCAACACCCTCATCATGTTAACAATTTCTACTCTGATGAAAACGCTGGGGCAACTGTGCCCGTGTTTAATTTTGGTTTTTTATGTTACTGAATGGGTGAGAAGTTCTTCATGTGTTCTGTACATTTTCGATATGTGGCTCAGTTTGAAAACCTTAAAACCACGGCGGCAAACAGACTTATTTCGGACAACGCAAAACAATTCCGCATGCGCCGCATCTGTACTGCTTCGAAACAAATATAAAAGCCAATGTCGCCATAGCGGCACGCTTAATCTGCCCTCTTTTCTACTAAAAGCGTAGGGGGTGGGGGGGGTCATTTTATCTAGCCATACCTCCACTGGATTTCAGCCCCTAGAGTGCACTGATGCAATAGTCTTTCGCATCAGCTTTACGACAGAGCAGTAGCTTACACCTTGTCAATGTTCATCTTGAAACCTAGTCGTGCTTATGCACTAAACACAGTTCGCAGACATGGGCAGGTCCACGACGCTGCAGAGATTTAAGGCAGGAAGTGACAGCCGGCTCGTCCAGTCAAAGGCGCGCCCGAACGTATTTGACAGAAACACATGAAATGAACCTTCTGCTGTTCCAAGTCAAACTAAATAACCGGTTCCGCATCGCTGGGGATACGCAAGAGGAAGCAATGCATATAACTTAGTGGACATTAACGGTGGAAAACAGTGGAAAGGAAAGGAAAAGGAATTCTGGTCAACGCTGGAATGTCGGCCTTCCCTCACTTTCACGACTGGGCCCTTTCTGCCTCGCTCTTTTCATGAAACCGATCGTGCGGTGCTGGTCTCCCATTCTGTGTCGTCAATCAGGAGTGCATTATTGTTTTAAGGTAGAGTATACAGCTATGTGACAAGCATAACGTGTAATCTCCTGTTTCCTTCCCACAGAGTGGTAGTCGTTTATCAATCTTGGAAAGAAGAAGGGCGAGTGACCCCGACTGGGACTTGAACTCAGGACTAGCGGCTCTGAATTCGACGTCCGGCCGACTGAGCAACGCCGGTCTGAAGCAATGTGCGGTAGATTCCTTGCTCTAAGGAATATCGTGAATAAGACAAAGACTGCCCTCGAGCAAAATGGAATCCCGTACCTGCGGTGTTCGCAGCAGACCTCTTAGACACTGTGCCAATACGCCAGCATGAACATAAGTGGACATAAACGTTACGCATCAGGACATTACTAAAGCAGCTACATAAACGGCATATAGTACCTCTGGACTACGAAAGACAACGTCACAAACAATAAACGGAAGAAGTGATGATGAAACGAAAGGAAATGAACGGCAGAACGTGCAATGGCAGATCGGAAGTGGAAGATCGAACACGCAGAACCGCAAAACATCACCGAAAAGCATAAATGAAGGCATCCAATCATTCAACTGCAGACTGGTAAAGGAAGCAAGTGAAGACAGCCGAAGCATAAAGAAGTTAAATCAAAGACTGGCGGCGGAAAACGACCCGTCTTAACCGTCAAAGCAAAAGATGGTGCTGTGAGTGGGAACAGACCATGCATCCGGAACCGAATAGAATATTTACACAGAAAACTGTACACAGATGGAAAATGCAGCGCCCTAGGTAAAAGAAGGAACTTGAGGAAACAAATGACATGAATAAATGAAATCTTAGCTATT